ATGTGTATGTATGTATGTACGTATGTATGTGTGTATAGGTGTGTGTATGTGTATGTATGTACTGCGTACATAAGCACGATTTGTGTGAGCCATTAGGCATAGACCATAGCCCAGTAAAGAACCAGCGCCTCAACGAGGACTTACATGAATATATCTGACCTCGTCTGACCCCTCAGTTCGTGACAAGCCCCCGCCGGGCTTAGGTCATATCACCAGTCTTCCGCCCCCCACAGGGCTGGTTGGCGGACCCGCGATGCCACACTCTGCGCGTACCCTACGACATGGGCTCGTGTGTTCCCCTTACTGTGTAGAACTCTTCGTCAGTAAAGAGACAAGACGTTATAACCACTGTCACTGCCCAACCAGTCACAACCAATGCCCCATGAGCATCTTACAGTTTGTATGTGTGAGTATGTGTATACATATATATATATATATATATATATATATATATATATATACATATATATATATATATATATAGAGAGAGAGAGAGAGAGATAGATAGATAGATATGTGTGTGTGTGTCTATATATACATATATATACATATGTGTATACATACATACATATTTATACATAAGTATACATATATATATATTTATATACAAATATATACAGATGTATAGATATATATATATATATATATATACTGATGTATATATATATATATATACGTATATACATGCGAGGGAGAGAGAGAGACATATATAGACATACATATGTATATAAATATACACATGTATGAATGTTTTATACATATATATGTATATATATATATATATATATATATATATATATATATATATATATATATATATATATATATATATAGAGAGAGAGAGAGAGAGATGTATAAGTGTTTGTATTTATATGTTATATATGCATGTCGCTAAATGCATACTCACGGAAAGGAATCACAACGGAAAGGAATAGAATTCCATGATTGAACTCTTCAAATTTTATCTCGTTCTCTCCCATGTAAGCGGCCTTACTGTTATCCCTTGGGCAACGTGGTTGTATATTAGGTTAGGTTCAGCTGTGCGCACTTCTCAGTCTTCCCAGGCGGGAAGGACACGCGTTGTGACACACAAGAGGTGTTTATACGTGCAGCTCCATGGTCGGTGATGCATCATGCTGGTCAGAATCAGCTCCCTCAGAGAGAAAGCCAGAGCAAGTCTCTGCTTGTTTGTTAGTTCTGTTAAAATTTAGAAGTGTGTATATAGATGTATATATATGGATATGTATATATATGGATATGTATATATATACATATATATATACATATATATACATATACATATATGTACATATACCTATATATATGTGCGTGTGTGCACACACACCCCCAAACACACACACACACATACATACAAACACACAAACACACACACATATAATATATATATATATATATATATATATATATATATATATATATATATATATATATATATATACATATACAAATACATATATATAAATATGTTTATATACATATATATATATATATATATATATATATACATATATATATAATATGTGTGTGTGTGTGTGTGTGAGAGAGAGAGAGAGAGAGAGAGAGAGAGAGAGAGAGAGAGAGAGAGAGAGAGAGAGACAGAGAGAGAGAGAGAGAGAGAGAGGGAGGGAGGGAGGGAGGGAGAGAGGGAGAGAGAGAGAGTGAGAGAGAGAGAGAGAGAGTTGACTGCATTGACTGCAACTCCACACATACAAATTACTACAGTCAATGATATGGATTGTAATTCGTCCCACAATTATAAGGCTTAACTAAAACACCGCCTTGTGGTTCTTATGTCCACATTTTTTATGTAAGTTACGTCAGTTCAAAATCCTTCGTTATCTGTTTCCTCTTACCAGTTACCCATCGCTAAATGCATGAATTGGTGCAGTGAAGACAGTTTAAAGCACTGCAAATGGTATAGCAAACTGTACTATACATAATGTACTGTTAACAATACTGTTTTCCAGAGCGGAATTTGGCAACAGTCCTGCCGGCTTTTGAGACAGCGTTGCCAAACTAGGGATCATTCTCGTGTTCGTATTGTTTCATTATTTTTTGCATGATGCATTTTGAAAGAAGTGTAATTATGATCCACCAGCAATAATGGCTCTTTAAGCACATAAACATACAGTAAAAATAACCTCAAGTCTTATAAAATCCCTTGTAAATCGGCTAAAGGTGTCATGGCCGCGCTGGCTACAGTGGCGGCGGCCTGGCAGGAGGGTGAGGAGAAGGCAAAGGCAGTAGTGTGTGTCTGGCTCGGATGGGAGAAGTAGCTCAACCTCGAACTCCCGCCAAAGATGGCACTAAGACAGAATGAAAACCCGAGGGGCACGTTGAAGACGGTTCCTTCTCACCAGGATTGTTGCTTTGAACTCTTGATGACATTTTAACTGTTACGTCCATTGGCGAAGAAATTTTGACCAAAGGACAGTCTCGAATTGAAAAGCGTGATATC